ATATTGTCAGGAAACCGAACAAAGTTCACCTTGAATCAGTTTTCCTTCTTCCAGGTCTGAGTCAATGATCAACACCATTGTTTCTGTACTGAACACACTCCACCCACATGAGTGTAAACCAGATTTGAGCTTCTACAACCTATATATATAAAGGATGGTCTACTGTATCCATTCAATCACTCAGCTGCTAACTGAATGACATTATCTCATCTTTACCTGAGAAGTAAGACCCTGGTTTGACTTCATTTAACTCAAAGTTCTCTATTCTTCAGATATTCATTGTTTTTCTACCTACAGAGAACAAAGGAACAACCAGCATCATGAAGACCATCTTGCTCCTTCCTCTTCTCCTGTGTGCTGCATTTGCAGGTGAGGCTCCACAAATCAACATGAATGTGCATGTATCAATCAGCCAGGCTCTAAGTTTGGACTAAAGAGTCTCTGATGGTCTGTTCTTACTATGTTTGTTTCTGCAGCTCCAACTGAAGAAGAACAGAAGCCTTTAGGTCACTTTTATTCCTGTTTTCATGTAAATACACAGACATGGACGTTATAAGAGCTGCACATGTCTTATACCAAAATTTATTTTTATCCACAGAAACAACAGAGGTAGAGCAAAATGAAGAAACACATGGTGCAGAAGGTCAGTTTCATATTTTCTGTTACCTGTAGGAGATGAACATCTCCTGCTTCCTGCTCTCCTTCACATTTATAACATTGTGTAAAAATGACACATATTTGAGGTAATCAAAATTAATTTGGTCATTCTGATTGTCTTTATACTAATAAATAAATATTGCTGGGTACAAGCAGCGACAATGTAAAATTCCCACAAGATTCTTCTCCACTTAAGATTTGGCAGAGTTTAATGCTCCATCTATCTTTAATTGATGTTATCAGATTACACTGAGCAGTGAGGGTCTTAACCCAGCAGTTGTCAGGATAAAGAGGAAGTTTGAACAGGCATCTGAATGTCAGTAATTCATTAATAATTCATCCACAATTAGTTAGGACTGAAACTGTAAAGGCTAGAGGTAGGATTATATCTCTAAACATGTCTATCCAATCACAATTCCTGCTCAGATATGTGAGGATAAACAGAACGGTTAATTATTTGAAATTTGTTTAATTTGGTGAAAATCTTCAGCTGAACTCAAGTCTATGTTTTCTCTTTAGTCCCAGCAGCTCGTTTCAACTTTTGTCCTGATGGATGGTT